ATCAAAAAAGTACTCCAGAGTGTTGTTCAGCATGGGGGTGAGTAGAAAATGAAGGCTAATCATGTTTTGGGTGTACTATTCCTTTAAACTGCTGTTAATGCAGTAAGACCAGATCAGCTTACATCATTCACACTGCATCTCTACATAGATGCAAATCTTTTAGATTTTATGGTTTATACAGCAAACACGTCCCTTACATGCTGTGATAATTATGCTGCAAATCTACATATTCAAACAATATATCTGGGAATTCTTTTCTGCATCTTTACGTGTGTCACGTTGTAATATGTCTGCATGCTTTAACCTGCGCTCCAACACTGTTTTGAGATGCTCACTCAGAATATGGGATGTTGGTTCCTCCAGGGAAATTGTGAGCTGCTGTATTCATTCTCATGCATGTGAAGCCTCTTTTCTTCCCAGACAATAGATTAGTTTCCAGTCACCAGAGGAAAATGGGATATCTGACTGCCCCTTTCTCTCTCTTTTAGCTGCAGAAGAAGCTCGCCATTCTTTATGTTCCACACACTGTTTAATAGAGCACCTCTTTTAGAAGGAACGCTGAGGGTTAGAGCAGTATTTGGCCCTCAGGTGGAGGCCTAAGGCTGCAGCTTCTAGACACAGCTTAGGGCTAGCCCTGCGGCTCTGGCAAGCATCTCATCCCCATAGCAGCCTTGGTATTGATCAGTTCGATGCCAAGTAACAGTCTAATAATCCACTAATCCATAAACCCACTCACTGCTATGCCATCAGTGTCACTATGGAAAGAAATAAGCTTTGCAAGTGTCACTGCAGCCAGTCTTCCTCTGATTTTCTTCTTTTAAATGCTCTCAACAAACAGTAATTGGCAACTTTCTTTATGTTTGTGTCTCTGTCTCTCTCTGTCATAAAAAAGGGGCAACTGTACTGGTTGTAAATGCAACCGACTTGGACGCATCGCGGGAGTTTGGCCAGGCTTCTCTCATCTACTCCCTGGAAGGCTCCTCTCAGTTTCGCCTGAATTCGCGCTCAGGTTCGTTAACCAGTCAGAATAAGACGTTTACAGCTTTTCAACCTGATGGAGTCTGTTTAAATCCGCTTTTTCTCAAACTGTTTAGTTGGTTGATAGTTGAGCTAAAAACCTGATCACGTTTTTTCAGTTGTTTCTGAAATGTTCTGCCGCTGATAAACTGTAAATTTCTTCATCTCTGTTTCAGGGGAACTCACAACCACAGCCCTGCTGGACAGAGAGCAGAAGTCGGAGTATATCCTGATAGTGAGAGCTGTGGATGGAGGAGTTGGCCCTCAGCAGAAGACTGGCATTGCCACCGTAAAAATCTTTAAAGTCATCGTTTAACTGAACAGCTTGTCTTAAAGTCTTACAGTAGCAGTCGTTCATAATGGCCCTTCCCAGTCAAAAGCCAGCCGAATGGCAGCAAAATCCCCTCCAACTTCCAGAAGATTTCCTTCTCATGGGCATGCATATTTTTCACCACCCTTTCACTGAATTACAGGGTCTAACCAGGAGATAACGCTTCTCTTAATGTCCACAAATCATGAGAGAAAGAATATTTTAGATGTTTAAAAAGGAATTGTAGGGGACCAGCCAAGGACCCATCAATGGCTACTACTGTACTGTTTGTTTTAACCATATTGGTAAAAAAGAATCTTAAATCACGATACACTCATCATGTATGTTAATATTCTACAAAATATTGGAATTAAGAATGTAATGAACCCTTCTATATTACGCCACAGCAAACAATTTATATTAAAATGTTAAAACCAGTTTCAAAATGACAAAGACACGTACTATTATAAACACAATTTGGAAAAATGGAACATCTTTTGGAGAAGATCGTTGATGGTAGAGCCGGGCGATACGGACTTAAAATCTTCTCACGATTGTCATGAAGCGGTGTTTGTTTGGAGGACCCAAATGCAGAGACCAGTAGGCAGAGGTGAATTTAAGTGGGTTTATTAAGGTTCACAGGAACAGGGG